ATTTTTTTTTAAATGACAACTATAGCTACTTATTAAACATGACCTATGTGTCAGGTCTGGTGTGAAACATTTTACATATGTCAACCTTGTCTTATTCTTACACTATCTCTGTGAAATAGACATTTTATTCCTATTTCAGATGAGAAAACTAAGGTTCATGGATTCTAAACAACCTGACCAAGGCCATACAGGTGAAAAAGAACTGTAGGTGAGGCTGGAGGTACAGCATATAAAATTTGACTAACTGCCCCACTGAGATATCAGGGTTAAAGAGAGAAGCTACTGGCCTTGCCATATTCTTTGTGCCCTCACTTAGCATGAGAACATCCAAAAGCACTGTGGTGGGGTCTTTTGGTCTTTGTAGACTCTGTGAAGCTGAGCTGATAAAGGAAAGGGGTCATGTCCTTTTTGCAACCCAGGAAGATAGTATGGCACACTGGTTAGGAGCTGGGGCTTCGAGTCAGAGAGAGCTAGGTTTGAATTCCGACTCTACCACTTACTGGTTATTTGGCCAAGTCATTTCTTTTGAGACTCAGTTTTGTCTGTAAAAATGAGGATAGTTACAGCACCTGCCCTCAACGGATGCCTGGCAGAGTCAACGCTCAGCAAATATGAGCTATTATCTGTATCTCTGGCTACGATTACAGTGTCTGGCACAAAGTAGTATCTCAGAAAATGCCCAAGGAGAAGCCTCACTGAATCTGGCTGTGGGGCATTCTGTAATAACAAGAGCACAGGCACAAAGTCCTCATGTTCAAGGATCCTCAGCCCCAGGACAAATTCCTGAGTTTCCTGCCCAGAATCCCAGGACCTGCCAGCAAACAGCTTTCCTCTGCTTGCTTGTGAACAGCTGATGCTGAATCCATACTCAAGCGCTTGCTGTGCCTCCGTAAGGTGAGGCAGATCCCAAAATAAACCAGAATAAAGACAGACAGGAAATCACTTCTAGGAACAAGCGGCTCCCAGTGAGGATGCTGACAGTAATAACAGAGACAGGCAGGCTTCAGGAAAGTGACCTGCAGCTGTTCACAGTAGAGGGGCTGGGGCCCAGTTCTCACCTGTCCTGGTGGGAAGGCCATGAAGTCATGGGTTGGTCCCCTGGTGTTCTAGGCAGCTGCAGGCAATGTGGAAATCTGCCTTCCAATCCACCTCCACTGAGCTTAGCCCACGACCAAACCATATACCCTTGTCCCCCCTTGGAGATCCAAGGACAACAGAGTTGCAGTCATCCCTTCAGAGACCTGAGAGAACAGAAGGTACTGAACTGGGGTCAATAGCTATCCATATAAACTTGCAATTTTCTTTTTTTATTTATTCATTATTTATTTATTTATTTTTAGTTGGAATCTCCCTCTGTTGCCCAGGCTGGAGTGCCATGGCACACTTACAGCCACCCCAGCGTTGACCTGCTGGGCTCTGGCGATCCTTCCACCTAAGCCTTCCAAGTAGCCAAAACTATAGGCGTGCATTATCACGCCTGGCTAATTTTTTTTACTTATTGTACAGTCAAGGTCTTGCTAAGTTGCCCGGGCTGGTCTTGAACCCATGGGCTCAGGCAATCTACTCACCTCGGCCTCCCAAAGTGCTGGGAATACAAACTGAGCTACCTAGCCTGGCCAACTTGCCAATTTTCTTAAAGTCCACCATCCTCCTATGCCATGCCACTGACTCTTAAGCAGGAAATGCTCTGCTAAGCCATTCTGTGCATGTTTAACCTTGCTCCTTCTTCAAAGTCTCTGTTGAGGGAAGGAGGACATTTTATAAGCACAGAAATCTCTCCTTCATAAGTAAGACTATAAGGACAAAGGCTACAAACTCATGTACCCTCACTGGCAACCAAATCCACAGTCAACTTGAAGGGGTGGCACAAGTGGAGAATTCACCACTGAAAATCAGAACAGCTGTGCACTAAATGATTTTTTCATGTTAGGAATTGGACAGAGCACTTTGCATTTACTATCTCTCTTATTCCACATCACAGCCTCTGCAGCAGGCAAGGCAGGACACTTCCCCAGGTTACCAATGGGGAAACCAAAGAGCAGAAGGATTTAGTGATTTGTGCAAAATCTTCTAAGTAGCAAAGCTAGGATTTGAACCCAAGACTAGCTGGGTCTAAAGTCTGTCCTTATTACCACTAAATTATTCCCAATTTACCTACCCATCAAGTTCCCAGGACTGGCTACATTCTTTTTAACCTTCAAGTAAATGTGTTGGAAGTCCCAGGAAACATTCAGAGTGTGATAAATTAAATATCATACTCTGGGCCAGGCACCATGACTCACACCTGTAATCCCAGCGCATTGGGAGGCCAAGGCAGGAGGACTGCTTGAGCCCAGGAGTTTGAGACCAATCTAGGAAACATAGCAAGACCTTGTCTCTACAAAAAACTAAAAAAATTAGCCAGGCATGGTGGTGTATACCTGTAGTCCCAACTACTTGGAAGGTTGAGGCTGGGGCATTGCCTGAGCCCAGGAGTTTGAGGCTGCGATGAGCCACATTGTGCCACTGCACTCCAGCCTGGGCAACAGAGAAAGACCCTGTCCAAAAAAAAAAAAAAAAATCATACTCTGGCTGAAGGCAAGTGCTAGCTATCCACACAGACAACTGAAAGGTCAATATCCTAACACTATACATACAAAACACCTCAGTCACATATTGGGGCCTAAAAACATCTTGTCTGCCTATATGATACCATACTCTGAATCACCCTACATCAGACACTGAGCCAGAACAAGCCTCCCACTTAAACTCTCCTCACCAGTCCTGTTTTGGGTTGAGAGGTAGGCAAGAAATGATCTTGGGATGGGGCAACCATGACAGAAACCAGAATTACCTTGTCCTCTTGGTTACAGAGCCTCTGTGTCTGTGCTAAGCTGCAACACACTAGCCTTTGGGGCAACTTCAAGGGAATTTTGTGCAGAAGAGTTTACTAGGGGTCTTGAAAAACTACAAAGCAGAAGGCGATGTCAATGGAGCATCAAGTTAAATGTAAAAATCAGTGCCACACTCCAATTCTCCAGAAGGCTCTCAGAGCCCACAGCCCACCCTTGTCACACAGGCTCTCCCTCCCCAAGGACACAGAGAGGGGCTCTTTTCTTCAGGTATCAACAGCAGCCCTAGAAGCCCATGGGGCTGGGCAAGTACCCACGTTTTCCTGTCTGCAGAGTGAACCAGGGTGCTACTGCTCTACTGGGTCAAGGGTGCTAATGACACAACCACAGGAACAGACAGGGTAGAAGTGGAGGCCACAGGACACTGACCTCCATCTGCTCCAGGCACTTGCCTTGTTAAAAGTATTACAAGCAGCCGGGATCGGTGGCTCAGCCTGTAATCCCATGCCTTTGGGAGGCTGAGGTGAGTGGATTGCCTGAGCCCGCGGG